TATATATATATATATATTTATATATTTATAATAAAGTATCATTTACTTATTATCAGTATTCTTTATATTTATTACTAGAATCATGAATGATAATTAATTCACAATATTTCAAACTACACTTCTTTGAGATTAATTAGGATTGGTGCAAATAATATTAATTAATTAATTGAATCTACGCAGACTGATCATCGAGCGTCGCGCAGGGTAATCCGTCCGACTTTTAAAAAAAAACTGCTTAAACGCGAATTTTTCATTAATATTACTAAATAATGATTCACACCTTTTTCTGATATATTTTTTATTTTTATTTTTTTTTTATTTTTTTTTCTTTTCGTAAAAATGTAGCGTAGAATTTATGATTATTTTTTTTTTTGAAATTGATATAATCGATAAATTATATTCCGAAAATGTTTTAAAAATAATCTAATAATAATTTTCCTATAAATAATTGATCCTATAAATTATTTCCTAGAACTATCAATATTGCAATATACACCATCTCGTGAAGAAAATCACACGTTTAAAAGATGGCGCGTTAAAAACAAAATAACATACCTATCAAGGTATTTCAAGTATATTTTCATTTTCTCTCTAACTCCGCATTTTTTTTAAGGCTCACAAACGTTCATACTATTACAAATGTTTTGATTTCATCTAGGTGAGCTGCTCTATTAAATTAATTATTTTAATTACACATTCGTGCTTTAATAATCGAGAAAAAAAAAACAAATCGATATATCACATGTCACTACGCAAAAGCAATTCAGTTTTCGTAGCCTTTGACTTTCACTATTCATTTTGTGACTTAAACTAACATAACATGAATGGTACATAAATTGTTTCATAGAAAAATTATTTTTCATTCCTATTCTTTCTTTTGTTTAATTGAGCAGACTTAGATAAATTAGGAAATTGATATGAATATTGATGAACTTGGAGTACCTGCGCGAACTAATCTCACTAAGTCCTCTCAGGTACTTATTTATTGATATTGCAAAACAAAATTTACTAGAATTATTTCTAATGTCCACTCGAAATTTTATACAGAAATTTTTTACAAAGACAAGAATACCTACTTGAAACAAAATTCATCGAATTCAATAATTTTTGTTTAATTCAGAACTGCAACGAACAATAAATTATATAACAAAAAAAGAAGTTTTTCACGACTCGAATATTTTTTCCTTCGTTTAACTATGAAATTTTTCACTTCTGTATTTGTTCTTGCGTATTGTCCAGTAGGTATTAAATTAAA